AGGTTTGAACCTCNTAGTAATTATATATTGCATTACAAGGTTCACCCATTTTGGATCAAATCCCATTTTTTAAAAAAAAAAAATTAAAGGGGAGGGATTGGTGAGGTTCGAACCTCGAACCTAACAATCCAACGGCGAGCTGCGGTGGCCATTAGGTTTATTGTTGATCCTCAAAAAATCCCACTCCAGCCTTTTTGTAGGCTTTGGTCATATCCAATTTAATACCCATCTGGTATTTTCTATTTGTCTCTTTTGCCTCATTGAATGCAATGTTGTCACCACAATTTATTTGAAATACTTACAAGAAGTTATAAACCCTAACAACATATATATTTTGAGTTCTACCAAAACCGCACATTAAAGCTTTGTAACAATGTGAGTGAACTTTATTTAATGTTGACACCGACTAATAATTTATTGACCAAGATGAAATTAGAATTCATTCGTNAAGTTATAAACCCTAACAACATATATATTTTGAGTTCTACCAAAACCGCACATTAAAACTTTGTAACTATGTGAGTGAACTTTATTTATTGTTGACACCGACTAATAATTTATTGACCAAGATGAAATTAGAATTCATTCGTCACCTAGAATTTTCGCAGGTGAGAGGAACTTGAAATATTTTGTCTAGATATTTTGTGGTGGCTTAATGGTATACAAGTGCGAGTTTAATTGCTTATATTGGTTGAAATTATCAATTATAATAAATATTTTAAACTTGTATCTATCTAATAGGACAACTAGCACTTTAAATTTTATCACCACATATTTTCCCTACTCATTCCTATCACGTCATTCGTTTATATTACAAGTTAAATCATTTAATTTTTGAGTACTTTCTGTCTTAATATAACATTTATTTTTGACATTATTCATATATGATAATGCAAGGTATCGCTATTTTTTGAGGTAATGTATTTTTGAGAAAATTATGTTGATTGTTTTTAAATAATGGATAAAAATTAATTTTAAATTATGTAATTAAAGAAATGGAAGAAAAAAATGTTATTTATTATATAGTAAAATTAATATTTTGCGAGCTCGAATTTTAAATTACACTGTATTTGCAAGTACGAACTATTGCTAGTTGTACAATATTATTCATTTTTTGGGCCCAAAAAATTCATTGAATTTTGGTATTCCTACCCGTTCAACCATTAATTCATTCTCGGGTCACCACGTACGGGTCACAATTGCCCATAGGTCATGGGTTTTTGGCCCACCCTTTAAAAAAGAAAAGCGAAGTGGATTCCGATGCGGAGAGAGGTGGAGCGCATTATCCAATGTCACTCACGCTCGCGCCACGTGTAAAGCACACACGTAAACGTGGGAATCTTCACATATTCTTTGTGATGCCTGATCTGATCGACCCATTAAAGTACTTTTTTTGGACTGGGCCATTAAAGTATCTTTGTGCGCCCATCATTCCATTCTCCCACTGAAAAAATATCCTACTTGCACGAGTAAAATTATCGAATACTTCAGTTAAAATTTTAATTTTATAAAATAAAATAATAATTAATATTGATTTAATTTTTATATAATTTGATCCAATGATAAAAAAATTATCCCAAAATTTTTTTCCCGATCATAATTTTTGTTACACACCTCCCAATATTAAACAATCTTATCAATTCACATCTAATATTCTCTCTCCCCTACATATATTCTTATTTTATTTTTATTCATTTGATTTTAAATTGCGTGATTAAAGAAATTTTTTTTAAAATATTGTACAATAAATATTCGATTTTTTATATTGTAAAAAATCTTTTGACACGGGGGTTATTGTCATATATATATACTAGTTATTATTTGTAATTGAAGATACAGAGTAATAAAAAATATGATAAATAATAAACATATTTGTATTCATACTAAAAATTAAATCATAAATATAGAGGAGAGAAAAAAAAATTAAACTCTAATTGTAATAGAGGTGAATAGTGGTAGACGACAGTGGTTGTGGCGGGGGTGGCGATGATTGTGGTAATGGTGACAACCATATATAGCAACAATGATGGTGGTGGTTGATTTTGGGTGGCGATGGTGGTAGTGGTAATCATGCGTTATGACAGTAATGGCGGTCAGTAATAGTGGTGGTGGGCGACTACAGGTTCTTTTGAGCGATAATATGACAGTGGTGGCGAATGATAGTGGTGGTGATAATGATAGGTATGATGGGTGTGGATGACAATGGGTGACGGGAGTGATGGGCGATGACGATGGCAACAGCGATGGTGGGTGGTGAGGTGATGGCGACGACAGTGGTGGGGGTGGTGGAAAGGGTGATAATGAAGCAATGAGGGTGATAGTTGTATGGGTAATAGTGGGACAGTAACGGTGGTGGTAGGGTGACGACAACGGTAATATTGGTAGGGAGGGGGCGATAGTAGAGGTAATGGTGGTAGTGGGGTGGCAACTACGATTGTTGTGACAAAGGTGGTGGTGGTGGGACAACGACAACGATAATGGTTGTGATAGTGGGGTGTGGGGTTGGTAGTGACGGTGATGGTGGTGGGGGGAGTTTATGGTGGTGGTGGTGGTGATAGTGGTGATGGTCGGACGGCTCCAAACATTATTTTTTACAAAATAATTATGAAAAGTTATAAAATATTTATAAAAAATCACCCAAATACACCCTTAGGGGTCTATTCCCTATAAATTTGAGGTGTTAGAATTAATTGTTGGATTAATTTTAAAGTAAAATTTAAAGAGATTTCAACAACAAAAAACAAAAGTCATTTGTTTATCTTTTAAGGTTTAAATTGTATTGTACTTTATTATATATATACACACACAAATGAAATTGTATTGTACTTTATTATATATATACACACACAAATGAGAATGATAAAAAAAATAGTGACATAGACATAATGACAAATAGTAGTAACACAAGAAAAAACAGTGACATATAGTAGTGACACAATGAAAAAATAGCGACAAAACATTGTAATAGGAAACGATTTCAAATGTAATTTATCAAATCTAAATAAGACGATCAAACAAAAAAAACAATAAAAATTAAGTTCAATTGTATAAGTTATATTTTCATTTAACCGTTCAAATCTATACATCTGAAATTGTTTCCTACTAAAATTTTTTGTCACAGTTTTTTTATCACAGTTACTGTCATAATTTTCTTGTATTTAATGTAATACTAATATTACGTCGTAATTGTCCCATGATGTCACTGTTATATTGAATATTTTTACACACAAGAAGCAAACACACTCAATAAAATCGAATTTTGATCAGAAATAAATCTGAATTTGAATTCATATAGTTAGGTATGAATCAATATTTTTTATTGGTAATTCAAATTCAAATTCGAATCCGAATATGTTATATACATAAATGAAAAAATTAAGAATTTATTTAATAAAATTATGTTGAAGATATAATTTATAAAATACAACTTAATAAAATTAATCATAAAAGATTGGGTATCCAAGTTGGATATTTAATTTTTAACGGATTTGAATATAGATTAAAAAAATAAAAATTTATTATTATTCAAATGGATTTTTTAATCGGATTGGATCCGGATTGAACCAGTTCAGGTCCGATTTGGAATCTGATCGACGGGTCTACTTATGGCACCTAGATGCAGTGCGTGAGTGTGTGTGTGTTTTTTTTTTCTAAACAGACACAGTCACGCACAGATATTCCAATTAATACGGCAAGTTGCAGGTGTGAACTCTCTGCGACCAATAGATCATAACACCAAGGCAATTGCTGACCGGGTGAGTCCAATTGATAAAGTGCGCGAGTGTGTGTGCATGACAGTCGACAAGCCTTTTTTGTGCTTCGTCTCTCTCTGTTTTGGTGCTCTGCCTTCGGTTGTGTCGACGAAGAACTGACTCGCCATGGAGTTCTTGAAGCTCGTTTGCCCTAAATCTCCATACGTATGCAATCTTTTTCTCTTTCACAATCTTTCTTTTCTCGTTTTAATCTCCACTGTGCATGTCTATCTCTTTCTATTCTCGTATTTGTTTGAATATTAAGTTTCTCGCTCTTTTTTTATCTTTCACAACCTTTATTTTCTCGTATCCATCTACATTGTGTTTGTAGTTGTATCTCTCTCTATATTCTTATATTTATTTATTTTTCATTACCAAGAATTCTTTCCATACCCAACTTTATACTCCGTTTGGTTGCTCAGAAAATTATCGTAAAGAAAATAATGGTCTTTCAATATTAAGTTTGTCTCTCCTTGGGATCCTGTAAAGTGTAAACCAAGTCCTTCACTTAGATAAACCTCAAACTTTCGGTTGTCTTTTCATTTCTCCTTAATTTTCTCAGCAACTAAACAGGGTAGATTTCTCAACACAGGAAAAACGAAATAGTAGGATTTTGGAAATCAGGGTAGATTACTCAGCCTTGCCTTAGAAAGTTGGATTGTCATGGTTGATACCGTATTTTCCATTGCTTTCCTCGATTTTCTCATAGACCTTTGTTTGGTTGATCATGAAAAGGCAAAAATCATGACCAAAAAAAATGACATGGCGAAAATGGACGAATTTTTTTTTTTGCTATTGCTTTAAAAGGGGGACTTCCTCACCCATCCTAGTACTCTGGTGCAATTGGTGCTAGTATGATCGCACCCGAAAATAGAGGAATTAAAAACAAGAATGAACTGACATTAATTTCAAGTTGGACAGACACATGGGTTTAAGAATTCTATTTTTATTTTCCATTTATTATGCTCTCCAATTAACGTAGCAGAGGGTGGAGTTAACCTGTACAACACTACATCCAGAATTATGTCTCATTGACTTTTTTTGTTGACTTGTTTTTTCTGTGATACTAAAATCTGCTATTCATCTGATCAGGTATGGGATGGAAGTGGAATTTCGAAGTGTTTCGATGACTTATATCCTTATGATAAGCTTTTGCGATTATATTGTTCTTCAACACAGACATAACAGGAGTTATTATCATTTTGTTTCCCCTTGACAATATTTACAGTGATAGGTTTTGGAGTAAATATGGTGACTGTGGCTATGATATCTGCTCTTGTAATCACAAAAAGAACTGCCAAAGGGCGTAGGAGGGTAGGTTATTCACATAATATTGATATGCTCACATGGTTTCTGGGAAAGCAGATGAAAACATTCTGTTGTATTGACTCTCTCCTTTGCAACCAAATCAATCATTTTGTTTTGGTTGCTGGGAGAAGGTAAGGTAAAAATATATAAACAGGTAATAAAAACAGTAAACATATAAACAGCTGAATGGGCAGTGGCTCAACTCATGATGTCAATTATTAATAATATTTACTTAAATGAGATCATTAGATGTAAGGCTTTGCCTTGGTATCTTCCCACGCGGAGAGCTGCATTATATACTAACTGACTGATGAAATTGCACAGCTGTACCCTTTAGAGAAGGTCATGTTGCATCTTCTACCTGCTCTTGGGGCATGTATGGCATTGTTTGACATAGTTTTGATTGCGAGGAAAGCATTTAGTGGTTGCCCCGTTGCATATCATGAATGGCTATTTAGATGCTCTCAACTCTCTGTTTGGGTAAGTTTTCAGAAGTTTGCTACATTACCTTGAAATAGGTTTATGACAGCTTCTTTTTTTATTCTGAGTATATAATTAACTTGTGGCCCACTTTGTAGGCTGCTGTTCTACTTGTGTCAAAGTGTGACTACTGGTTTTCTGTCTTTTCTTATCGCATCCTGTGCTTTTGGTGGATCATGAGACCTTTTTTATGGATCCCTCATCTGCAGAGAACCTTTTCTTCGTTGGAGGTACTATTTTCTCATTTTTTAAGTCGTGCCTTCCCCTGATTTGCAGTAAATATCAGGTTAATTGCAGAAAGAATTATCTAGGTCGAATGAAATATAACATGTCTAGGAATGTTGTCACTCAAACTTATTTGTGCATATATTGTGCTCCTCTCAAGTTCCATGTAGATTTGAGTGCAGGCACTGAGTATGGTGGATGTATTCATGTGTGTCAGACATTTCTCTCCCCCCCTCCGTCCTCTTCCCCCTTGTTGGTAGTACTCTGGGCATACATTCATAAATTGCCCTTGTGGGGAATTTCTTGTACGCTCTTGGAAATGATCATTTGTGATGATTAACATGCTTGATACTCATTTAGAAGAGTAGCATCCAAGATTAAATTTAACAGCTGCAAGTGGTCAAAATTTACTTGCGTGTGCATTCAGTTTCTTAATGGGGCCTAGAGAGGAGTTATTTCTTTTTTCATTGGATGACAAGTTTTGTGCTGATATCTTTATATTTGCTATATCATTTATATTCTGTAAGTTGATTTTACCTTCGGAAGAAAATTATTAGCGACTTTTTCTCTAGATGTGCATGCATAAGCATTCATAGATACAGCTATGCTTCCTACTTGCAGACTGAAAATGTGTATAGCAATATAGTGTTATTCCAAATGGATTTTGTTCTATGAGGCTGCCCCCATCTATTTGGTAGTCATTTGTATTTACTTTAATTTGTAATGGAAACGGCTGACCATACACATAGGTTTAGACGAAACCGAGGCAAAGACAAACACAAAGATGACTGAAGAAACCAGAGGTATTCTAAAGCCTGCATAGTAGAAAATTTTGATGCTGGACAAAATATAAGACACATTCAGCTGAAGTTGAGAACCTAACATTGTATCAGTGAATTGTGGACTGTAATCATGAATTTGTAGACTTCCAATCTACTCAATGGAAGTTCTTTCTAATGATTATTTTTTGAACAATTTTCAATTTGATGGCTTTAGAATATGAATGAGCCGAAGAGGTTATGAATTACAAATTCCATTATTTGATTGGAATGTTCTTTGATTAATTTAAGCAGAAGTGGAAGTTATTGCTAGGAAATAATACAAGTGAGGTCTCTGAAGATTTCTATAAATTAGGCGTAACCTATGAGCAAGAAGGTCTCCTAGATTGTGATAGAAGATACACAAAAGTGAGGAATATGAGAATTTCTGAAAATTAAACAACCTGTGAGTAAAAAGGTCTTGTAAATTGTGATAGACTTTTTCCCTAAGATGAATAGCAGAACTTGATTAAGATTTTATAGATTAATTCTCATTTTAATTACCATAGAAACAAATTATTTGTGTTTACTTGTCTAGTGGATTTGAATTTCACCAAAAGTTTAATGTGACAGGCTTTACGATGTCTTAAAGAGAGCTTTGCTTTTTTAGTGGATATCATGTTTGCGATCTTGGTTAACATTTTCAGGATGAAGCTGGCCGCTCTCAAAAGCAGGTGGTGTCATTCTTGTAATCCTTGCTATACAATGACAAAATATATGTTGTGCAATTCTTATATCAGTAATGAACTGTATTTTCCTTTTTTTTTGTTGTCTTATTTGTCAAAATATCGTGCAACATCTTGATGAATTCTATATAAGAAGATTGCACAAATTGAAACGTTGTTCATTCATAAGAGAGAAGGAAGAAAAGGAGAGCGAGATCAGAAAGAGAATAATTCCAAAGAATCCAAATATATATCAACAGTAAACAAAAAGTAAAGAGAAACATTTATTGAATCTATCACATACTTTTGACACCTGATGTAGGTCTGTGTGTTTGTGTGGCACACCACTATGCATTTTCATAAACCCCGCATTTACCCAAAAAAAAAAACAGTTCCGATATAACNCTGATGTAGGTCTGTGTGTTTGTGTGGCACACCACTATGCATTTTCATAAACCCCGCTTTTACCCAAAAAAAAAAACAGTTCCGATATAATCATTGGTTGGCTTTCTTATTAAATCCTTTCCTCCCTTGTATGATTCAAAATTAGAGATATGCTAGGCACTCTATTATAATTTATCAATTTTTCTGAGAGAGTCACCATATTGTGTAGCATATGCCACTTTACTTGCTCTTCTATCCCTTTGTATTTTAAATTCATGCATATCACACATGACACACGGTTCTTGTATTTGTTTTTTTCTATTAATTCACCGTGTTTACTTGCATGAATTGCAGTTCGATTGAAGAGCCACTTCTCTCTTTTGAAGTGGACATTGAAGAAGATCGTCACACGGGTCCTGTATGTACTTATACTATCATTTGATTATTGCTCAAGAAATGTTATTCGTTTATTTTTTATTTCTTAGCAACATTTCTACCTATTTTATTGGCTAATTCTAGCCGGCCTTATATATTTATGATATATGACAAACCTTAAACAAGTTTGAAAAGACATTTCCATAGTATCTTAATTTTCTACGAGAATTCTTTTTTTAGATACGTGCAGGATATATATTTAGTAGACTAAAATAAACGACCTGAATTCAGCATAGAATTTAATCAATTTTCATAACCCAGAGAAAGGAAAAACAATACATATAGCTTTCCTCCTCCAGAGAGAGGAGAACAATATGTATACCTCATCCACTTCTTCTTTCCCTCTTTTCTTAACACCAAACAAATCTTCTCTAAGTGAGATACAACTTTGGTTCTCTCTTAGGTATGATTGATGCATGAGAGAAACCCTCTTTCAACTTTTGAATTACCTAATCCTGAGGATCAAAATTTTATTTTGGTGTATTATTTCGGTCACTTAGTAAATGGAAACATTTCGATGTGTTTCGAAAATATTTCGGCCCCGTTTTATAAACAGAATGAAAAAAATTTAAAATTTAAGAATTACCTTTTTTAAAACATTGGTCGAAATATAACAAAATATTTTGAAATACTTTGAAACATTCCAAAAAAATTGTGCAAATACATTGAAATATAATATTTTAAAATATTATGGAACACCTCGAAGTATCAGAAATTAGATTCCATCACTGATTTGTTTTGATTTCTTTGGAAACGGAAACGTTTCTGACATTTTAACTGTTTCGAAACGATATTTTGATTCTTGCCTGACACTCTGCATATGTTCTTTTTATGACAATTGATCTTGTTTTGAGGGACATCTGGGAAGACAACATTACCTGATTGACACGCTTTATGTCTTCTACTGCTAAAGTGATACCTGGAAAGTTAAATATTGGTGTGTTGAGAGTTTCTGGTGACAGGGAGTTGTATGTATATATAAGCTTCTTTACTCGATATAAACCCAATGAAATCAATCTTTTTTCCGGTGAATGGTTTACACATTGTTGTAGTTATTAGAGTTAGACCACTAAGTTGTCCCAAAAGTTTTAGCTATTAGAGAATGGACATAACTATATACATAACTCTTACACCACACCATGTGTGTCCGTTGCTTATGCTTGCAGAGGCAAGGGGCGCACCAAGTAAATAAACAGAAGTAAGTGAAAATGTGCTAATGGACAAGTGAATTAATGCATTGTGGAGGTCTAATCTTAAAATTTTAAACTTTAAATTATATCCAAACCCCCTGAGATTTGTTACTTTCTCGAACAAATCCCCTTAGTTATAGAAAATAACACCTTCATCCCTAAGGTTTTATATATTGTGACATATTACCCTTGATGTCAGACTCAGTTTGAACTATCGTCCAATCTTGAGAACATTAGTATTTTTTCAATTAAAAAATCACAAATTACCCATGCGAGATCCTATCAAACCCAGTTACCAAAACCCATTTTATTATAAGCCATCCTCCTCTTAACGGTATACCATTTTATGTCACCACTATAAGTTCTGACCACTACTGCTTCAAATCAATAAAATTGAAGAAAAATTTGGGTTCATAGATGTGGAGGTATGCATCAATATTAGAATCCACTAGCTTCACTCTTCTTTTTTTCACATACGTGATCATACACTCGCACTCCAATTCTCTCTCCATCTCTTTCGTCCACAATGAAAGCTAAAATTGCTTGAGTGGTTGGTTGTGTTGTAGTCAATAAGGAAGGTGCCAAAATTGAACGTGGATGATGAAAGGATTAAAATTTATTTTTGTTGCATTGTTTCGATTACCTAAGGAACAAAAATGTTTTGGCATTACCGGAACACAGGAAATTTTTATTTTTTATTTTTTTTCAAAATATCCCAAAACATATTGTGTCCATTGAACGGAAACGTATCAACTATTTCGAAATAAAATTTTAATCCTTGAGATGATGGCGTTGGTTGACAGAGTGGTGGCCATGGTGGTGGAAGGAAATGGTGGCATTGACCGTGCAGAAGAGATGAGAGATGAGACCATGGGGGCAAGGATCAAAATTTTGTTTTGAAATGCGCGAAACGTCTGTGACGTTTTCATTTTCAAAGAGACAAACGAATCAGTGATAGAATCGAAACTCTAATATTTCGATAGGTTTCATAATGTTTCAAGGTATTTTATAATGTTTCAATGTATTTATGCAATTATTTTGGAATTTTTCAAGGTATTTCACGATACTTTAGTATATTTTGACTAATGTTTTGTAATAATAATTTTTAAATATTTTATTTTTTTATTCTATTTTTGAAACAGGTCGAAACGTTTTCAAAACAAATCAAAATATTTTCGTTTCCTAAGTGATTGAAACAATACACTGAAACAAAATTTTGATCTTTGTATGGTAGTGTAATAATTGGCGGTCGGTGTGTGTTTGAGATATAGAGAGAGGTAGTATGACTGTCGGTGTGGTGTGGTGAGGTGAGGATTTGTGGATGGAAGGGATTAGTGGCAGTGAATGCTATTAAATAGAAGTGGATGAGGATGGTAGTGGCAGGAGAAAGAAGGAAAGAGGGGGAGATATTTTATGGGTCCAGGTTCAAGTTTGGATTTAGTTTGATTTGTGGGTTTTCTATGTTTTTTGGTTTGGATTAGGTGGATTTTGTTTGATATTTTATTAAAGGATAAAAGGGTTACTTCAACAGTTCACTTAAGTTTGTCAGTAGACCGTTACACATAAGGTTTGTTAATGTAAATTTTCATACCAGAGGGGTTCAGGTGATTTAACGACAAACCTTAAGGGGTCTTGATGTAATTTCCCTAACTTTTAAATACTAAAGCCCTGATACTATGTTAGCCTGCTGGTTAAAATCTAAGTGCTAGCCCAAGGGTTATGAACTTATAATCTACAATCTGATGATCGAGTCGTTTCCATGACCAGACTGGAATAGGATTATGTACATTCTCATTATGAGAAGGGATCATTCAAGCGTATCTAAATAGATACTATGTTTACGTATGGATCTCTACGTCGTTACATTCCATTTAGGATTAGGAATAGGCATAATCGGACCTGCTTTTTACATAGCTCTCCTTAGTTGGGACCCTCATTGTCAGATTTGCTTGATTGTCATAAATATAAGTAATCTGCTATTTGTTTCTTGCTGTACTTATGGAGGGTTTTTTTGGTTATCTCAATTGCTTTCTTGTTCATTGCCTTATTCAGAAGGTAGTAGTCAGGACTCAGGAGATATGTTTTTATATGTCATGTCTACANAATTTTTCAAGGTATTTCACGATACTTTAGTATATTTTGACTAATGTTTTGTAATAATAATTTTTAAATATTTTATTTTTTTATTCTATTTTTGAAACAGGTCGAAACGTTTTCAAAACAAATCAAAATATTTTCGTTTCCTAAGTGATTGAAACAATACACTGAAACAAAATTTTGATCTTTGTATGGTAGTGTAATAATTGGCGGTCGGTGTGTGTTTGAGATATAGAGAGAGGTAGTATGACTGTCGGTGTGGTGTGGTGAGGTGAGGATTTGTGGATGGAAGGGATTAGTGGCAGTGAATGCTATTAAATAGAAGTGGATGAGGATGGTAGTGGCAGGAGAAAGAAGGAAAGAGGGGGAGATATTTTATGGGTCCAGGTTCAAGTTTGGATTTAGTTTGATTTGTGGGTTTTCTATGTTTTTTGGTTTGGATTAGGTGGATTTTGTTTGATATTTTATTAAAGGATAAAAGGGTTACTTCAACAGTTCACTTAAGTTTGTCAGTAGACCGTTACACATAAGGTTTGTTAATGTAAATTTTCGTACCAGAGGGGTTCAGGTGATTTAACGACAAACCTTAAGGGGTCTTGATGTAATTTCCCTAACTTTTAAATACTAAAGCCCTGATACTATGTTAGCCTGCTGGTTAAAATCTAAGTGCTAGCCCAAGGGTTATGAACTTATAATCTACAATCTGATGATCGAGTCGTTTCCATGACCAGACTGGAATAGGATTATGTACATTCTCATTATGAGAAGGGATCATTCAAGCGTATCTAAATAGATACTATGTTTACGTATGGATCTCTACGTCGTTACATTCCATTTAGGATTAGGAATAGGCATAATCGGACCTGCTTTTTACATAGCTCTCCTTAGTTGGGACCCTCATTGTCAGATTTGCTTGATTGTCATAAATATAAGTAATCTGCTATTTGTTTCTTGCTGTACTTATGGAGGGTTTTTTTGGTTATCTCAATTGCTTTCTTGTTCATTGCCTTATTCAGAAGGTAGTAGTCAGGACTCAGGAGATATGTTTTTATATGTCATGTCTACACTCTAATCCATACCTACTGAGTTCAATCTTCTCCTCCACTGTTTACCAGAGAATTTTTTTTTCCTTTCAAACAATGTCCTACATCAAGAATGTGTGAATTAAATTTTACAATCGTTGCATGTATAAAACAGGACATTTTGAAGTTTGATTCTCAGAGTGAGATGCATTCCCTTAATTTGCTCTCTTTCGGTTTTCCAAAGACTGTAAATGTATATTAATGTTTCTGTTTCTTACTTGGTTGTCAAAGGGAATTGCTCACCGCTATTGGCATCTGATGACATTCGAATCTATTGGTTCTGTGATGGAACATGGTGTGATAAAGCAGCTTGACTTTGAAGATTTACTTCAGCTTCCCACTGATATGGATCCTTTGTCCTGCCATAATATGCTGCTAAAATGTTGGCACGCCCAACAGAGAAATGATTGTTCTCATCCTTCCTTGTTTAGCACGATTTGTTGCGCCTATGGATGGCCATATCTCCGTCTAGGTCTGTTAAAGGTATTTCATTTTATGAGGGGCATGTGTCTCCTTTTCTTTTCCTAGATATCGAAATATGGGGGAAAAAGGGACCAGTAAAAGACGAAATAGCCTGCAAAGGGGAAGGAAAAATTAAATTGTGTTTCTTATCCATTTGTTAGTCACTATAGGATGTGTCTGTAATTTCTTTTAGCCATTTAATCGATTGTTATGTCCATTTTGGTTTGGTCACTTAGAATTCTGAAGTTCTTCTCACTTCGAAAATGAAGATGTGTTTCTGCCACCTGCACCTTTAGGCCCCTTCAAGTACTGGAAAAATGTTGGGCAAGGAAAGAAATATGCAATAATGATTTTGATGGTACACCCTTTATGGCTCTGCCATTGGATTTTTTGAGTGTCATCTGTTTTGCAGGTGTCGTTGCCTGATGCAGTGTGAAAAATGTTGGGCAAACAATCATGAGTTTTATGAATTCTATTTCGAGGGTAGTCACTTTGCACAAATACTGTCAGAGATTAGATCTACATCCGGTCCAGCCCTTCTAGGACTTTCAATTCATGGAAGACTAAGCTGAAGAATGACCTTTAGTGATATACCATTAAAATTAACCACCTTGTTTGAGAAACCTTAGCGCATTATTTGGTCTTTACCCTATTTGTCTCTATTAATATAGGGTGTTGGGTAAAGTGCATTAAATACAAACCTTAGCTTTTGGTATTATTTTCACAATCAGAGCATTAGTTGGTCAAATGAATTTTTTTTGAATCTCAATATACTTGAAAATTGGGAAAGTTTTATATCACGAATTTTTAAGATAGAGTCTTGACTTTTTGCAGGTGCTTAATGATTGCATTGGTTTTGCTGGGCCACTGCTTCTTAATAAGCTGATTCGTTTTCTTCAACAAGGTTTTTTTATTCAACATTTACTCTTTTTAGTTCTGATTCCAGAAATACTGGATACCATTTGATGATGTAAGTCGTGGTTGGCGAATAATTTAATAGTTTTATTTCTTCTTCAGGATAATAATTGGACGAAGAATCCGTTTCTTGATTATTTTGGTGATTACTGGGAAAAGTTGACATAAAGTCTTTTAAAGTTTTAAGTGTGGAATAGACCACAAGGACCATTTCTGAATCTAAATTCTGCCATTTGGGGCAACTACAGGCCTAATGTTTTGTCTTTCACTTACAAAGTGTGTCATCTTATAGATTGCGAATCTGATTCTTCGCTTGAGGAAGATGAAATGTTTAAGATAGAGTTTGTCTGTCGGGCCTTCTAGATCAAATAGTAAAAATGTAGAAGTTACCTGATTTTTAACTTTTAAGTAGTATACCTGATCTTATAGTATACGTTGAACCCTAAGGGACCAATTATGGGATTTCTCAAAAAGAAAAAAGGGCTAATTATGTGGTTAATGTCAATAATTGAATTAGTTTTTGCAATAAATTTTTTTTGTTTGTGACATTTATTAGAGAATGTGAGATGATGAATACTTGGCATCTTTCTGAAATGTCATTTTCATAGTTTTGCAGTTGTCTAAATTATCGCATGTTTGCCAAGTTATTCAGAAGAATTATGATAGATTCTTTAAATATGCTAGTAATTAAGGACGATGAGCTGATTTATGTTGCTATGTTGATGAGAAGGATTTTGAGGAATCATTTGTAATTCTGCATGCTACTACCCTGTTATAGTTTCATTTCTTGGATTTCTGTTGCTCTCTCTTGTTTTTCTTCATTCTTTGCTTAAGGTTAGCTGTGTAAGTAGCTGCAGATGTAGAGCATTTGTAATTGTTCCATTTTTCCCTCTACTAAGGGACAACAATTTTAAACGAAAGCAGGATATGTAGGCTGCTGAATAGAATTCTGTGTTTGCATGTAAATTAATGATATCATGTTACTCCTGTTTTTATGTGAATCATAGTCTCTGGAAAATGCTTTACATAAATGTGGGAGTCCTTTCATGTCTTACAGCATTTGTATGCATGTGGCATGCAACTCCAACTAAATCTACAAACTTCAATCCTTACTGCTTGTGGATCAATATTTACGTGAACTGGCCTTCTTTTGATGCCCTAAATGTTGCCTGTGAGATCAATGTTTATGTAATATTGGATTGTCCCCTTGTTTTTTAGTTATATTTCTGTTGACACAATGCATACTATGTAGCATTGATTTTAGATGAACTCCTATTGACGATATTTGTGCTTCTTTTTTTGTTTTTGAACAGGTTCTCGGGATTTTGATGGCTATATTCTTGCAATATCCTTGGGCCTCACATCTATTTTAAAGTAACTCTTATTGTTGTAATGCAAAAATATTTCATTCTTCCTCGTCCTGAGTTTTACATTTTGAGGTTATGGTTTTCATTATCGAGGGTCTTGTATTTGGTAATGAATTATCATAAGTCTAACATTTGTTTTCACTTTTTTTTGAAAAGAATATGCATGCTAGTGTTATGGGTGAACTAAAAAAGAATAAGAGGTCTGGTTATGTCATTTAATCATCTTCTTTTCCTTTGTCCTCGGTTGTGCATTTTGAGTTTATGCTTTTCATAATGGATGTTCATTCAAGCTTATGACATATTTTTCATTCTTTTATCAAACAAATCCAACCTCCAAATTTCTTTCGTTTTGGTGCCCAAAATTAATTTTGTTGCCATAGCTTGTAGAAGAGTGTTTCCCACACTGATACAAGTCACCTGATTTTCTTCAATGTTAATATTTGATGGCTAGAAACTCCCTATCATCGGTGTTTCATTTCTTGCTAGCTTGTATGCTACAATATGTGAGGAATTACAGATCAAACTCTTTTTATCAGAATAACTAAAATTGGTTCCCAGGTCTGTAGGTATGACCTCCCAATCCTTCTTAGAACTCAACTTCCCTACAACATATGCTATCCACTTCACTGTGCTTTAACCTGCCATATTTTTTATCGCCTCACTCATTTTTTTTTAGATTAAGTCTCACTTCATCATTACACACCATAGAAAATTCCTCAAATGCTTTGATATTATTTTTGATGTAGCAAGTGATCAATCATGATCTTATCTGCAACAATGTTGTCATTGTTTTTGGGTATATTTTTAAGGTTGGAGGATATTTACCAATAATGATATTAATCCCCGTCAATAGACTCAATACTAATTGTAATTACTATAGCAATTCTAGCTTATAATAAGAAAATAATAAACTACAGGAAGAGAGGCCATATGTTTAGAGAGTCACAACTAGTTCTTTTAGCTTCCAAAACATAAACATCGGCCGTACTACCATAGTTACTCACCCGTAAAATATAAATTCTTTTCTTGTCAGTATATATTTGTTATATTTCTTGTGTGACATCTTGATGTTTTAGCTACAATCTTTATAATGAGTGATTTTGCTCGAGGGTAACGTCTTAAGGTTGTTAGTTCCATCTTGCAGATCCATCCTCGATACTCAATATACTTTTCATCTTTCCAAATTAAAGTTGAAGCTACGGTCTAGTATTATGACTGTTATTTATCGAAAGGTAAACACTTTTATTGCACATTACGTAAGTGCTGAATTTTTGACATCTCAGTATTAATTGTACTTTTGTAAGTGTCACTGAATTGCTTGCTGCCAACATACAACTATTATTCTCTTACAAGTCCACATGTTCTTTTCAGTGCCTATGCGTTAGCGTAGCAGAAAGGTTCAAATTTTCTGAGGGGGAAATTCAGACGTTCATGTCGGTTGATGCTGATCGGACTGTCAACTTATGCAACAGTTTTCATGATATCTGGAGGTTAATTTTTATTTTTTTAAATGATTTTTCCTCATAGTTCTTGTAATATATTTGAGACGATATAGCAATATGCAATACATATTGTGCACCCACCTACGCATTACTTCTTGTAGTTGGAGTTTTCTTTTTGTTGATCGAATTCACATTTTCTTTATCTTCGAGAATGAAGCATCCTCCTTTTTTATTGTGGAGAATGAACCATCATCTCATGTAAAAGTTTATGTTGTTAGAAAGGAGTGTGACTTGTATATTTATCTAATATTCGCCCTCACATGTGGCTCCGCTTGGTGGTCTTTCCACGTGATTGTTTGTAATAGGGGAGAAAGTCTAGTGTGATTAGAAGCTTGGTGGCCTTTCCACATGATTGTCTGTAATAGGGGAGAAAGTCTAGTGTGATTAGAACTTAGGCAAGGATCAAAATTTCGTTTTGGTGTATTATTTCGGTCATCTACGAAATAGAAACGTTTTGACATGTTTCGGAAGCATGTCGACCCGTTTCGGAAACAAAATAAAAAAAAAAAAAATTTTAAGAATTATTTTTTCAAAACATTGATCAAAATATACTAAAATATCTTGAAGGACATTGAAACATTCCGAAATAATTGTGTAAATGCATTGAAATATAACAAAACATTTTGAAATATTATGAAACACTTCGAAGTATTAGAATTTCGATTCCATCACCGATTCATTTCGGATGTTTCGATCATTTCGAAACGATATTTTGATCCTTGAACTTAGGATCTTTGGGCTTTAATACTATGTCAAACAATCATCTGCTCTAAGAGCTTAGGAATAATGATTTATGAATGGTTATTAATTAATGTGGTTGTTTCTTGCTCTATAACTTGCAATATTTTCACCATTTGTCTACTTTAGTCAATAACAATTGATGACTAAAATGATTTAGCATGTTTAAGAAGACATTTTAAGACTTTTCATGACTTTCTTTATTTCAAATCTTTCTTGGCTTGCATTTCTTGCTATCACCTCAAACTGATGTCACACTCTACTTGTTTTCGAATAGTTTTTTGTTCATTTCTATTTCTTTTTCATGTATTGCTAAAGGTCAAAAGCTAATTATGTTGACGACTTGTCCTTGATGAAGATATGTGTGGTGGAACTAGTTATTCTCATGCAAGACCCAACTCTTTTTTGTTATGAACTTTTCTATCGAGAGGAGCATTTTATGACTTTTCATGGAGGAACCTATGAAGGAACTCAAATATGTTATCAAGTTTATCTCAAGGTTCTTAATAAAATTGGAAAATTAATATGTTAATTATAGTATACACACAGGTAGATATCTGTGTTTTTTTTCCTGTATACTGGAGACTGGAGAGGGTGAGGGGCAAGCAAGATTTCTGTCGATGTAGACAGGTTTAAACGTTATCAGGTTGAACTAAAACATTTTAACAACAATTGGGATATGAAGGCATTTCAAATTTGGTTGTCCTAAAGATTTTTTCATGGTTTTTGAACAGGTATGGTATGGAACTTGTTGCTATTTTCTAGCACATGGGCCTTCTTTGGATCCAATGCTTCTCTGCTCATTCTTTTGTTTCCTGCTTTCTATTATTTCATTGGACCACCTCCACCAATGGTTGACATTGCTTCCCTTGGTTCACATTTTTTTTGGAATTTCAAAGTCAAAAGTAATAACTAGGGGATTGGAAACCTTTAATTTTCATGTAGAAAGGCATTCTCAACATCTGCTTAAATTTAGAATTGACATATGGCCGGAGTTGTAATTGGGTTGGTTGGAGTCGAACAGGCACTTGAGCATATCTTACCAACAGATCTTTTAACTAAAAAACATAGAACATATCTTTTAACTAATAAACACAGTGCTAATATTTAGAAATCCTAAAAATGATAAAATAGATAATGCCCTTGATGTCTTTTTTGATGATGCACGTAAGACTGTCAAAATTTGACACGACACGATTAACCGACACGAATTAAGCGGGTTTGTGTGAGATCTTAACGGGTTTGGGTGATAAATGGGTTGACACGCCAAATATGTTTAATAAACGGATCGTGTACGAGTGAGACCTGTCAAACCGTTTATCACACGTTTACCCGTTTAAATAAAATTAATATAATAATAAATTAATAATTATTTAAAAAAATTAGCAAGAAAAAAAAAATAAAGTAGTAGTTTGAAGATAAAAGAGAGGAGATGAAGAACACTTCAAAGACAAAGGCAAACCAATGTTTTTTTTTTTTGTTCCACATTGAAAAATGAGGAGAGATGGGAATGGTTGAGTTGCCTATAAAAAATAATAGCCTCTTGCTTTTTTTTTTTTAAGCCTTCAATTCTTATTTTTATGAAATTTGGTTAAAAATTTTTCTTTTTTTGAGGTAAGTGTAATTGACAATAAANTTTTTTTTTTTTAAGCCTTCAATTCTTATTTTTATGAAATTTGGTTAAAATTTTTTCTTTTTTTGAGGTAAGTGTAATTGACAATAAAAAAAAGTGGAGTATTAAAATTTGTTAATACAATTTTTTTAAAATTAAATGGGTTAAACGAGTCGTGTTGTGTTACCCGTTTATTAAATGGGTAGTCTTCGTATTGAGACTTTTCACCTGTTTATTAAACGTGTTGTGTACGGATTTATATATTTTCTACCCGTCACCCATTTAACCCGACACGTAACTGTTTAACCAGACACGTTTGACACCCCTATCTGCACGCGTAGCATGGCTCCTAACTAAATACATAAGATGATTTGGGATTCTTCAATTCATCATAGCAGCGTATATATTACTGAAAATATATGACTGTTGTGAGGTGTGTGTTTGAATTAATAGAGTATGTGTGATGCCAATAAATGGTTTAATATTAATTCTTTGCATAAAAGCTACTACTATTATTTCGCCATTGTATACCAACGTCTTAATGTATCAATAAATCAATGGGTTGTATGTGTTTTTGGTCCATTCTAATTTTCATGCAAATGTATCAGCTTGCCTTTTCAAATTGGAGTTGCGTTGTATCTGCTGTACACACAAGTCAACTTTGCTTTTGTTTCTGGAGTTGGGATAACGATTTTGTTAATACCAGGTATAACTGTTGTTGGTGCTCGACTCATTACTGAAATTTAAAATAACCAGAAACACTTTATTTCAGGTCTTGTTCTTATGCATGTGTACTTGCTTGGATAGATGCTGATATGTAAATTTGCAAGCATAAACAAAATAAAAAAATAGTTATGCATTTGTATGTTATGTATTCATAGTTGTAGGGTAGTTTGGGGGTAAATCCTATGATGTCCATTGGTAGTGGAGAGAGTCAGCACTCAAATTCTCCTGTTTTTTTTCAGCTATTTAACATATGTAGGGTTGCTAATGAATTTGACACAGATTAACTCGTTTAGTATTGGGAGGCTAGTCAGTATATTTTTTTCTCTGTATTCTTAGTGTCTTCAGTAAAATCAGTCATCATACATTAGAAATCCAGTCTGTGTGGTTGATATGGTAATGACAAAATGTTGCATGTGGTGTAATTCTTAGTCATTTTATTGTGACTTTTATAGTTTCTATTTTTGTTAGGAACAAAGGAACAATAGTGCAATTACTTCTTGGAAATGTTCGTTAACATAGATATGAAGTTATACTGGTGGAATTTTGACACGTAGAAATCTCTTATATTTTAATTTTACTACTATATGCTGCTTACATTTGCATTATGTTCTTGAAGTTCTGTGACTTGTTTATGATCTTAGTCTAAGAAGCCGTCACTTTTTACATCATTCGTAATGCTTTGCAGCACCACAGAACTAGCTTCACATTGCTTTGGCCCCACAAGAACATTGTATGTGGCCAATAGCCCCCAGAAATGAGGCTGATAGGCTGATAATATGTTGAACCAGCTTATGTAAATTCTGGTTTATATTTATGAAATTTATAAAACATGAGAGTAACATTTCCAAATTGTTATAGGTTTAGTCTTAATTACTTTCCGAGACCAGAGAATATTCCTTCTAATGAATGTTATGTGCAGTCAATAAATGGATTGCCAATTTGATTGCCAATGCGACAAAAAATATGATGGAGCAAAAGGATGAGAGGTGTGTATATGTTTCTATATAATCCTTTCATAATGATATTCTCCAAAATATTGCTGGCACTTCCAATCCTTTGGTGTGTTTGTTTCAAATACTTAAAACACTCGTAGGTGGTAAGGAAAATGAATCATGTTATCTTTATTTGTAGTCCACTGTTCTAATTTTGTTATGTAATTTCAATATCGACAAAAAAAACATCATCACTTTGGTAAGGCCAGTTCGTGAAATCAACGCAGGAGGTGTTGGCATGTTACTGGACATCCTTGATCTGATATGGAACACATTTTAGTTGTTTTGATCTAGTTTCTGGTTTATTTATAATGATGCTGTTTTCAAATGCTTTTTTTTCCCTAAACAAAAGTCGTCTTGTTAGTATGAATAGTTTAATCTTTTTGTTTGTTGTTGGAAAATGTATTTTTGACTTACCAATGCAGTGAGTATGAAATGTTGTAACTCATGGCTATGATTTTTTCTCCGATTGTCTCTTCTTCCTTTTGATTCTTTTAAATGTCAATGAAATTGAGACTAGACATAGGATGGAGTTTAGATCAGAATATGATATTCTTGCCAGTTGAAGGGTTCCTGGGTTCCTCCTTCAACTGAAGCGTTTGGCTTGGATCCCATAATTTGAGTCAGTATTTTGACCCTTTTTACATAGTTCCTTGGCTTCTATTTTCCATTAGGCTCAAAGCAGGTCTTGAATGCCCAGGTTTTATTGTATAGTCAAGCACAAGGTCTTTGTTGATTACAAGCACAGGGTGATTTTATTCAACATAAAATGGTGACATGAAATGGCCATTTTTTCAATTTATGTGCAAGACAGATCTGCCTACCTGTTCTTCTTAAAGAGCCCCAATGGATATACATTTCCTGCGCTGATATTATGGTTACGTCTTGTAATGTTATATGATCTTAATAATTTATCTTGTGTGAAAATTTTGTACATCCTTTTTATACACTCATTGACAGAATTAGAAAGACCGGAGAACTTTTGACGTATATTCGCACTTTGAAAATGTATGGCTGGGAGCTTCTTTTTGCTAGTTGGTTGATGAAGACAAGATCCTCAGAAGTGACTCACTTATCAGTAAGAAATTGTCTGTAGATTTAAAATGAAAAAATTGCCAGCTCCTTCAGATCATTAGTCTTATTGCTTGAACTTTTCTGGTTAGACTAGGAAGTATATGGATGCATGGTGTGTATTCTTTTGGGCTACAACACCAACTCTTTTCCCTTTGTTCACATTTGGACTGTACACATTGACGGGACATCACCTTGATGCTGCAACGGTACTATATATGTAAAAGATCACATGTTTGCTTCCAATAAAATATCTTTAAACAATTGATTTTTTTATTTGAGAATTTTTTTGTTATTTGCAGGTTTTCACTTGTCTTGCTCTCTTTAATAATTTGATCTCTCCATTAAACTCATTCCCATGGGTAATTAATGGATTAATTGATGTGAGTGGTTCATCTGCCTTGAGTGTTAAAAGTAGTGCCTTTATATTGTTTAGTAATTAGATAGAACTCATTTCGTCATCTACTGTATCACAGGCTATTATATCTACTAGGCGGTTGACCAAGTTCCTCTCCTGTTCTGAGCATGACCCTCAACTGAAACAGACAGGCGTTTCTTCATCATCATCTTGCTCTAATACCAATTCTGACATTGTATTTGAAGATATGGCGGTTGTCATCTGTGATGCATGTTGTGCATGGTCAAGCAGTGATGAGGATGAAGGGGTTCTGGTGTTAGACCATTTAACTCTAGCAATTCCAAAAGGTTCCCTGGTTGCCGTAATTGGAGAGGTGAAAGTTGTACTAGAAGTTTTCATTTCCTTTTTTTTTTTCATAACCTATTTATGTGTAATACATCTTCTTTGGAAATCATCTGACAAGTACCATGTAATGCTTGATAAGCTGTTCACTTTGCCTTGTCCAGCTTCTTGTACTCTCTAGTGGTGGTAACAAGAATTTATCAGCTTGGGTTTATCAGGACATAGTTGCCAGACAACGCTAATGTTTGAGCTAACTTCATTTCGACATACACATCATCGACTGTTTTCTTAACAAACTATGTGGTTGCAGGTTGGTTCCGGTAAATCATCCTTGTTAAATTTGATTCTGGGAGAAATGAAGCTCATAAGTGGATCGACATATACAAATGGGTCAATAGCATATGTACCACAGGTTAATCAACTTGTCCTAGTGCGGGCATGCGTATCTATACTCTTCGAAGTGCAATCTTGTTATGCTTACCTTTGCTATTCGGAATTGTAGGTTCCCTGGATTCTCTCAGGAACTATCCGTGACAATATTCTGTTTGGAAAAGTTTACGACTCGAAAAGGTGTAAATCTATTAAACCTAAGCAATAGAGAGAATTGATGGTTATTGGCGAGTTGATTAAATACCAATGCCTTTATTTTCTGTTCTACTGGCTAATCTCTTTCCGTGTTGTCATGCACAGTAGGCAAATCATCTTTTTTGTCGTTTGCTGTATATGTCAAAATTTCTAAATGACAAATCTGTTGTGGATGCTTTCTTTAGATTCTGATCTATGACTATATGTTTTATTTGAACAGATATTCAGATGTGTTACAGGAATGTGCACTGGATATTGATGTTTCATGCATGGTTGGAGGTGATAAGGCTTTTATTGGAGAAAAAGGAGTCAACTTATCAGGTGGACAGAAAGCTCGTCTGGCTCTTGCCAGGTAATTTAATCTCTATATTCCCAATGTGAGTAGCAATATCATGAACCTGTACAAAGTATCTTATTACATCTTCCTGAAACTGTGCTAAATTTCTATCTAATGAACAGGGCTGTTTATAGTGGAGCTGACATATTCATGCTTGATGACGTCCTTAGTGCAGTTGATGCACAAGTTGCTCGCTGGATTATATCCAATGCGATTCTTGGTCCTCACATGAAGAACCAGACTCGAGTTCTCTGCACCCATAACTTTCAGGTAATATCTCCGCATTTCTTAATAATCTGCTGAAAGTACTCTGAGATAATAACACCCACGCAAAAGTTAGATATTTTACCTTTGTGGCAACTGCATGAGGAAATACTATTGTATGACTGTTCCTCACAAAGTTGCTGCCTTAATTAGAACATAGTATCAAAGGCGTCTTAATATGGCAATATTAACATTTTCTGGGAGATAATGTTAGCATTAGTTTTATGCCATTCTCTGCAAAGTACCTGTCTTAAGCTATATTGAATGACAAATCAAATATAGTAATGGTCATTAATCGGTTTGGTCCCATAAACTGAAGGTGCTAGAAGGGGCGGACTGAACTCAGAATTACTTTAGGCATTTAAATGTAATCTGGTCTGATGATATTCTTATGACAACAAAAGTCATTGCCCTAGATTAAATTTCTATTATAATTTCTGTAAATCAAAGTTACCATTCATACTCCGCTTGTACCCAGCTTGATTAGACATCTCCATTCATGGGCAGCTTGTAATGTCTTTTTCAATATAACTATCCTGTACTCCTGCCTCTTGTCATAATCCTTTTACTTTATATGTGGGTTGCATATGAACTTGCCAAAAATGGGCATAATTTCGTCTCTGTTTATGTATTGGGAACATAAACACAATCAAGTTAAAGTTATAATACAATTAATAAAGTGGATTGGAATGCATATCAATGTGATGTTGATGTATGTACACGAATAAAGTTCGGAATCTTTTATGAACTGCGGAGGTGGAGAACTTTTTAAAATGAGCCAAGATTTTGACAAGAATTCTTGGCCTGTGTCAAAGATAATATCCGCAGTCAGTCTAATTTTGTTGAAGGAAATTTTCAAGATGTAGTTGTTAACATATAAATCTGAGTTCATTCTCGTCAAAAAATGCTAGCGTTGGATCATAATTCGTTTAAACAGGAATCTGGGAAGTATAATGTAGTGTAAGATGGATCATTACAGGTTGAAACTACAATATTCAGTTTTGGGTGAACATGATTTCTTGAAATTTCTGCAGTTCTATTACTTTTGGGCGATTCAGTTTAATGGTTATGCACCTCTTTCGTTTTATTTCCATACAAGAGCAAAGTGAACTACGAATTATAAGGTAAAATTTATAGATGTTTTGGGGATTGCACAACCCACTGGTTGTGTGTCAGTGTACCGTGTTCTCATGGTTTTTTAAAATTATATGCTTTTGGATTTTATCAATTCGATAACCATTCTTTTGTAGTTAATTATTAGAGTCAACCTTCACCGGATGTTGGTCAAGTAGAGATCGATGCGCTTCTTCCAAAATATAGCATGGCAAGAAAATGAAGCTTGACATGATTACCAATGAAAAAACATTTAGTGTATCTTTAATGCTTCTTGTTAACTCCCCATCTCTTCCATTTTGGCCACTAAACTTGAAGATTAGTATGCTACACTCCACAGGCAATATATGCTGCTGACACGGTTGTTGTCATGGATAAAGGACGAGTGAAGTGGGTGGGAAATCCAGCTGATTCGTCTATTTCTCCATATTTAGCATTTTCTTCGCTAAAAGAACTGGACATATCTCCTCATATTCAAACCCAAGAAAGTAGTGAACATGTTGTTATTAAAGCCCAACAAGAGGTCCTTGTAGAGGGTGAAGGTATATATGTTTCTGAGGAAGCCCAAGAAATCACTGACGCTGAGCTGAGGAAAGAGGGCAGAGTGGAACCCACCGTATACAAGTGAGTATGATCTTTTATGAACTAACTTTTTACTCCATACAGGAAATTTGATGTTTTAAGCTGGAGAAGTGGATTTGGATGCTCATTTGTTGATTGTTTGACTGTTTGTTGATTCTTTATCTTCTACAGAAATTATGCCGCGTTTTCTGGTTGGTTTATTACAATTGTTACATGCCTTTCAGCCATCTTAATGCAAGCTTCTCGTAATGGAAATGATCTGTGGCTGTCTTATTGGGTTGATTCAACAGGAAACTATGAAAAGGAGTATTCAACGTTCTTTTACCTGGTGATCAAATGATACCTTGTGTTTTACCAATGAGAGCAATAATTTTATGCCAATATATATCTATGGATCTATATCTATATATATATAAATGTATGCGTGATATATATGTGTACGTAAATGTATTCGTTTCTCAAAACCAATTGCTTTCCTTTTTTTCCCTTTGATTTTCCATTTTAAAGGAAAAAAATAGTTTAGAGTGCTCAATTTCAAAGTGTTATTAAGCTGTAGGAACCTTTATAAATTATTTTCATGCTTAGAAGCATGACCTGGAAGCCAAATGACGACTGCCAAAACAAGTCATTTGCATGCAATTGTTTAATAACAAAATTCAAATAGAATTCAAAGAAAATGCAAGTGGACTTTGGTCTGAGATTTACCTGTTGGGGCTGACTTCATTGGGTGATGGCACAGGTTATACTTTGCATCTTCTGTGTGGTGAATTCCTTGCTAACATTAGTGAGGGCATTCTCATTTGCATTTGGTGGCTTGCGTGCTGCTGTTCAGATGCACAATGGACTATTAAATAAGCTTGTCGATGCACCTGTTATCTTTTTTGATCAGACCCCAACTGGTAGAATACTTAACAGGTAGCGCGAAAATCCTTTAAAAGATTATCCACTTTTGATTTTTCTAGCCTACATATTGATCTTGTTATGTAGGTTGTCTTCAGATCTTTATACAATTGATGATTCTCTTCCATTCATTCTCAACATTCTTCTGGCGAATTTTGTTGGCCTCGTAGGAATTGCTGTTGTTTTGTCATACGTGCAGGTGATTTTAAAAAATCCTTGTCATCAAGCTTACTTTGGGTTTCATCCAACATAATGTGTTCAACTATTTGACTGTACGTTTTCAAATTTGATGTGTGCAGGTCCTGTTTTTACTTCTTTTATTGCCTTTTTGGTATATCTACAGCAAACTGCAGGTATTTCATAAACTTTTATTTCTCATACACCCAAGGTTGCATGAATTTTTGGATTTTACTTCTAAATCTCAATAACACTCAGGATCTGGATGTGAATGAGTCAAATTACTTATCCCTCGGTCTATTAGTGAACCATCTTTCCAGGATTTTGAAAGATATTCCACTAGAAATATTATTGTTATTGCTTCAACTCATTTTCCCCCAAAAGTGGATCCCCCTCTAATAGCTCCGAATAAATTAAATACATGCATTAAGAAACGAAAGGAGGGAGGGGAGGGAGAGAATCAGATGTTGGTTAAAGTTTTTATGAGTGCCGACACCTGGCATATCAAACTTCTGATAACAAAATTAACATATAAATTCTTACTTAGGTCTTACAAATTTTTATTATCCTTTTTTTGAAGTTTTATATCCTTTCAATTTCTATGCTGCTTGATCACATATTCAACCACTCTACCTGCTGATAAAGTTTGTTTGGTAGTGTTAAGTTATCCAATGCAATGCAAGCACGGTTTGGAGGGATTTTTACTTATTTAATAAGGGAATTATCTACTCCATCCGACGGATTCTTCCAATGTGTCATTTCTAGGTCCAATTGAATTCATAGGTATAGGAAGAAGCCCTATCATTGCTAATGGGTGGAGTGGCCCATCAAGTACATTTCCCCCCCCCCCTCTCAAGTACATAAATAGACCTTAGGTGTTCCAAATCTTTGATATGGGATCGAAGCTTCCTTTACCCCCTCCCTTATGCGCGACCTTGGCTTGTACTTAGACTAACAAATCGAATTGAAACAAGCAAATAAACATATCGCTAGACAAAAATAGACACAACCAGGGGAATTCAAAAGTGTGTGAGGCTTGACCCATTAACCACCTGGGGCCTAGTTCTGATATCTTGTTAAAGCATCAGAACTATAAATCAATCATAGATGTGCCTAATATTTCGACTTGGTATGCATGCTCTCTTTATAGGTAGGATAGATGTGTTGGAGGAAGTAGATTTTGAAGGAGAAAGGGAAGATTTTTCTTAATTTGATAGCATAAAAAGGGGAAGGTCCCTTACTTGCACCTTTTATGTTTCACCAGTGGAAAGAAGAGAAAGGAAGGAAGATTTTGTTTTGTGAATTTTCTGTTTATGTAAAACCTACCCTGTAATGTCTTGAATCCACATGTTCAAGATGTGGCATCATTATATTTTTTACTTTTCCCATAGGCTCGTGGTTTTAAACATGCTTGATGTGTTAAAGTGGTCACCCTGTATGGGCTTGTAACTTTTTTTCTCTTGGCAATGTAGGACTAAGTACAAGGACTTGACACCCTTCCCTCACCTCATCCATCCTAGCTTGAAATTCGGGGAGACTTGGCTAGTTGGATTTAGGTCATCACAATAAACCTTCCTTAACGTATTTGTGTGGGACCCGCTGCACCACCATAAGGAAGAGGCACATTTGACACCAGTTGAAATGCTCCTAACCCACTGTCAAGGTTTTGTTCAATTTGTCCGCAAACTCAGTCTTAAAATGTATCTTGACGTGTTGTTCAGTGGTGATAAAGGTACATGGACTTGGTACCCTCGCTGCACCTCAGTATGCCTCACCTCGCCAACTTGACGTGTTGTTCAGTGGTGATAAGGACCAAGTACATGGACTTCTTGCCGCACCTTAGTACACCTCACCTCATCCATCATGACCCCAAGTCTCATGTGTCTAGGCCTGTTGGATTTCAGTTACCAGACACCATGTTATATGAAAAGATGTAATGATAAAGTGAAGCAATACCTCTTTCTTTCCTGCCCAACCAAAACAAACTAGGGGAAAACAGCTTACTTTTGCTGGGGTACCTGTTGCATCAGTCATTCCTTCGACATCTACCTTTTCATTCCTCGTAGACAAGCCATGACTCCTCTAATGATATATGACAGAAACATAACACAGCATCAGTTATTTCAATTTACAAAGTTCGCAGGAAAATGCTATGAACGTAGAAAGTTCACTGATGAATTCAATTAAATCCTCTAAAACATGAAAACCCACCCATTAGGTTCAAATTATTTTGAAGAAGTCAGTTGCCTGTTTATCCTCTCAGAAACAATGTCAAAGAACTTTCTGCACATACCTCATTGGCAACAGTAGACACCTCCTTCAACCCATCCACTTTTGCGACGGAATCTGATACAAGATATAGCAATAGGAGAGAATAATTTCCAAAACTGCTTTCATTTTTCTAATTATGTTGGTTGTTAATCTTAGGCTGTAAAGTACACACGATAACAATCCTATATAGCTGATTCTTGAATGTGAAGGAATTGTAGATTGACTTAATTATATGGCAATTGAGCTTCCTTTGTAAATTGATTGAAACAGTTTGCAGGAAAGAATCTAATAATGGAATATGGTAAGTGAATTCTACCAAGTAACTTTACATATTGTTGATGCAAGCAAATACACCTTTGGGTTATCTGATAAATCAAAGATTCTTCAGTTCTACTACAGGTCAACATCGCGTGAGTTACGAAGGCTGGACAGTGTTTCTCGTTCGCCAATTTATGCGTCATTTACTGAGACACTAGATGGATCATCAACTATAAGAGCATTCAAATCAGAGGTAAATATATGGATGTTACTGTTTCAGAATGAATATACTATTATTACATGCAGTTTTTGTGTCTGTTTCAGCTATCATTGATGAGAACACATGCTCTCTTAAATGCACCTACCATCATAATTTCGATTTGTTTTCACGTTCAACAAGGCTGAGACTTGGTATCAGATTCTTACTTTAGGCATATGGAAAAATGTTCAGTGGGTGCTGAATATAGTAAGGGCAATCTTCACACTGTGTGAACTTGTGATGATGTCTGTTTTGCCATATTTTTCTCTTCATTAAATGCGAGTCAATTTGTTTGCCGAAGTAAATTAATCTGCTCGCTTGTAAACAAAATATTTTCTTGATACAACACTTAAGTGGTTTTGGTGTGGATGGGAGGGCTAGAATTCTTCATCATGGGGTTTTCTTGGCTTTGCTATGGGGCATTATATCAAATAAGATGCTAAAATTTTCCAAGATGAAGAGTAAAAAGATGCAAGAGCTTGAAAAAGTGTGCCCACCCCGTTCTTCTAAAATGTTTTTCTGTGCACCTATCTGATATTTTTGGGGTCCTTCAAATTTTGTGAAAAGATTGGACTTGTCACTTGCATGCCAGGGAAGGGTCGGGATCAACTCGGATGGTTGTGCTTTTGGAGACCTGGTTTAGCTTGGTGTTGGAGGCAACTTCTGTTAGTCGAGTAGGGACATCATTATATATCTCCAATCTGGATCTTCAAGAAGATCAATAGATGGGCCAATGATTAGGCTTTTTGGGCCAAGTGTGGGTGCCTCATTACCATCTTTTGCAGAGTAATTCGTGACCATCTTTGGTCTGTAAGGGAAAATTTTCTTTTTTCTTTTTTTTTTCTTTCTGATTTTCTGGCTTCATTTTCATCAAGCCACTGCCTTTGAGTTGTCAGCTCATTTTCCNTTTTTTTTTTCTTTCTGATTTTCTGGCTTCATTTTCATCAAGCCACTGCCTTTGAGTCGTCAACTCATTTTCAACAGGCATGTGGTCAGAACCCGAGGCTTCTCCTAGTAGTATGAAAAACTCCTCATCCTCTTTAGTGCTGCTTAGATACTCATTATTATTTCGATAGGTTTGCCAATTCCTACGGAAAAAAATAGCCAAAGCCTAGAAACTGAAACCAGTTTGGGTCTTTATATTTTCTGCCTCTGTCAACAAATTCGATATCAATATTTCTGGTAAATATTGATATTTCTGGTATCAAGCACAAGTTCAGTCGTGGTCCATTTCAAACAGTTCCTAATGACTGATAAATCGAAGAATGAGGCTAAATTCTAGCTGATAATGAACTATGCCATGAAAACAGTTCAAATTCTGCATCTGCAGGAAATCAAGATGCGTTGAATCATGAGAAATTGGTATAACATAAGCACTCACCAGCGTTACATTTGCAATTGTCATTACATAAGATAGACAACATTTTGGAGGTTAACATCATTATCCCTGTGTGGGATTTTTAAAAAAAGAAGAGCAATTTCTAATGAAAATTTTGAAGTTTTTTTTTATATTTTAAATTTTGCCTTTAGTTAAGTCTGTTAGGAGGAGAATCTCAGAATTTTGATTAGAGAGAGAGACTGAGCTGGACGTGGAAGAGCTGTTACCTAAGTATTAGCTTTAGATTGTGAATTAGCTATCTTTATATCATGTGCATCTCTAGTTATTCAGAAACAAATAGGGCAACTAAGTAATCTGTTTAAGTTTACAGGAGTTATTCTTGGCCAGCTTCACTGAGAATGTGACCTTGTATCAACGGACTTCTTACTCAGAGATAATTGCAAGTTTGTGGCTTTCCCTACGTCTTCAGGTATGTCTTCTATGTATGGATACAGCTATATTATTGGTAGTACGCGATGAAAGAGAGAGTGTGCCGTAGGCTCTGGGTTTTACTGCATAATGTCTTTGCTTGGTTTTTTGTGGTGCTACACTATGCTTTCAACTGGCTTTAATCATTGGTAACTTGTGAACTGTGTTAGTTGTTAGCAGCATTTGTTGTCTCATTTGTTGCTGTGATGGCTGTTATTGGATCCCATGGACACCTCCCCATCAATCTAGGTACTCCAGGGCTGGTAAGTTTTTCAAGCTATTAAATCACCATCTACTCTAGAAGCATAATCTATTACGGAGGGTATAACTTAAGTAGTTATACTTCAACGCGTCTTTCCATTTGCTGGCTAGATTTTGAGCCTAGTATGTGGACATCTTTTAATTATAAGGGTAGCGGTGAAATCTGAATATAGGTCCTCTTGCTCAGATACCATGTCAAATCGCCATCTACTCTAAAAGCTTAAGTTGCTCAATAGGGTGTAACTTAAGTATTTATACTAAAACACAAGCCCTTAAGGGCCTTGACAAGTCCATCTATTGGGATTTAAACACTCGGTTAATAAACCAAAAGTTTGAAGTATTGTGGCAACTTCCAGGTCATCTGCTCCCAGAAATGTTTCTAAGGTAGCTCATTTGTCTACAGGTAGGCTTGGCTCTTTCTTATGCAGCTCCAATTGTATCTTTACTGGGAAGCTTTTTGACGAGCTTCACTGAAACAGAGAAGGAAATGGTATCTGTTGAGAGGGTTCTTCAGGTATGAGATAGAAAATATTTTAACCTATTTACTTATCTCCCAATAGATAATGCATTGATCCACTCATTGCAGTATATGGACATCCCTCAAGAAGAACTTCATGGATGCCAGTCGATAGATCCAGATTGGCCGCTTCAGGGGCATATCGAGTTTCAGAATGTGACACTTAGATATATGCCTTCTTTGCCTGCTGCATTGCGTAATCTTACTTTTACCATTCCGGGAGGAACACAGGTCTGTGCAATACTGTGCCTGTTATGAACTTTCATTTTGTGAAGAGTAATATACTATCACCTTTTTTATTGTCTTTTACCTTAAGAATTTACATTTGATGACAGTTTTGCTCTGTGTTTTGTGCAAAACCTTTCCAGTTGTTTGGTTAGTCATGCTCTGAGGTTGACATACTTGAGATGTTATTCAATCAGGTTGGAATTGTTGGAAGAACTGGTGCTGGCAAATCTAGTGTCTTGAATGCAATATTCCGTCTCAACCCAATATGTGAAGGGTGTATTGTAGTAGATGGCATAAACATAGATGATGTTTCTGTGAGAGACCTTCGCTCACATTTCGCTATTGTTCCACAGACTCCATTTTTGTTTGAAGGATCATTAAGGTACACTGGAAATTTAGATACCTGGAACGCAACTTTGATGATGCAAATGTTAGGAGTTGTGCTTTACATATGCATATAACATGGACAGTCTCTTGTAAATTATCAATTGAGGACATCAACAATCTTTCGTATTAATTAATTAATCAATATATTTGTATTATGTGCAATTTTCTAGGGATAACTTAGATCCATTCCGGGTGATTGATGACTTAAAAATTTGGAAGACCCTAAAGAAATGTCATATCGAGGAGGAGGTCAAAGAAGGAGGGGGACTGGACATGCATGTAAAGGAGTCTGGAACATCGTTTTCTGCTGGCCAGCGACAGCTCCTTTGCCTAGCACGTGCATTTCTCAAATCTTCCAAGGTAAAAGCGTAAAATTTGGGGGGGGGGGGGGGGGGGG